AACAAACACAGTGAAATATATTTTTTTCGTTAGGTTCAGAATTATTTTGGCGAAATTATTGCATACACAAATTTTCCCTTCTCCTATATGGCAAGATGAACGTTGCTATTTAAGCTAAGATCGCAAGTTCTGCCTATTCGGCACGATATATATATGTATATATATATATATATATATATATATATTAGGGAAGTACCACCTCTATAGCTGGAATGGGGACCTTCATCCTCAGAGAAGACAATTAGCGTACCTCAGGAAGACAAATGAAGACAAAGACAGACTTTGACTGGACAAAGCTTTGTTGTGTAAGGGCTTTATCAAGTCTTGACAACACGACACAGAGTATCGGATTCCCAATAAAAACTTTGCTCTGGAACCTGTGTCTTTGTCTTTATGTTGTTACACTTCCGGGCCAAACATCTTCCACAGGTCGCTCACTTGCCCTCTAATCTGCACCTTTCGTCTACCAATGCAGTTATATTGTTTGTGGCCAAGATGTGTGTGTGTGTGTGTGTGTGTGTGTGTGTGTGTGTGTGTGTGTGTGTGTGTGTGTGTGTGTGTGTGTGTGTGTGTGTGTGTGTGTGTGTGTGAGAGAGAGAGAGAGAGAGAGAGAGAGAGAGAGAGAAGGGAGGGAGAGGCCCACCTGCGGAAGATGTGTGTCCCGGAAGTGTGCAAGCAAGAACACCTGGGAAGTGGTTTATCAGTCACTGGTGCCGGGGTGGATGAGATGGGTGAGGCAGCGGGTGAAGGCTGCAGGATGATAACGTTTAAGTGATGGAAGTATGAGGGAATATGTAAGAGTTGATGATGGAGGATGAGTGAACAGGAGGGATTAAGAGGAATAAGAGTTAGGAGGGGGATTGGGTAGGGATGTGTTTAGAGGTGTTAAAGAGAGGGAGAGGGAGAGAGAGAGAGAGAGAGGTAGGGTGGGTATCCCGGGGTAGGATAAGCAAGGCCAACTGCCGCACCTGGGCAGGCTGACACCTGCATCATACCTCCCTCGTTGCCTCACCCACAACTGTTTACTTAACCTATATACCCCTGCCCCCACCACAACCTCCCCTGCCCCCAACCACTACCTTCTCTGCCCCAACCACTATCCTCCTCCCTCACCTCCTGCAGTCTACCACTCTGCCAACATCACACAGTAAAGATTAACATAAAGACTATTTCTTTCCAATGTTTACAATGTGTGATTATAATTTTGATTTGTTGAGTACAAAGAAAGTCACTATCATACCGGGACATTTCAGCAACACGACGAAAGTCACTCTCCAAACTTTCTTTCTCACCACCACCATCACCAAAACCATTTTCACCATCTCTCCTTTCCCTCTTCAATCATACCGATAGTTCAGCACAATGTATCCCCTCCTGTGATGAAATATGACAGGGAAATATATACCAATGGAAATAAGTCACTCTTGACTTTTTTGGGTTATCACAGGTTCTCTTTACATATGCTGCCATGTATGATAATATGTGCAACTATCTGTGTATACTTGAATTAACTTACTTGCTATATATATATATCTTTCATTCCCACTTATCATATAGAACAAGGTAGCAGCAAATTGCGCATGTATTAAATTTAGCTGAAAAAAAACCGTCCACTATGATAATTTGCACACCTCTAGCCACCTGGAAGTTGAGTACACATACCACCTGTCCTTCAACACTGTGAAGACACTTTAGTGATTCTTTGCCAAACACTCTGACCTTAGTTGTTTACAGAGGCAGATCTCAGCATAAGCCACTTAAGATCGTAATAACACGATTGTAAACAACCCAGGACTCAAACCCAGAGCAAGCCAGTTTTAAAACTAGCGGGTCAGTGCTCTCACTATTGTTTCAGGCTGGCGTAACAAGGTGGACCCAACTAGGTGCACAGGGGTGAGATTGGTACATAAAAACTTGTATTTTTGGTCACCGTGGGTCCTCCTGCTGACCTTTCAGACCCACGCTAACTAACCCTTGCGTGGGCAAAATATATCATTAGTAAAAATAATCGCCGTAACTAAGAATCATTTATCTGCGAGAAAGAAGCTGATATTGTCCATGAAGGTTATTAGGAAGCAGACCACAGTTCTCTCAACAGGATATTATTATAATCATGGGGGGGGGGCGCTAAACCCGTAGAATTATACAGCGCCTGTGGGGGGATGGAAGGTATTCAGGCTTAATTCAAGGAACCGGAGCACAGATCCAATTCCCTAGATCAAGAGCCCCTCACCAGCATCAAGGAACCTCCCTTGTGGGGTAAAACAAATATTGCGAATATTGTTAGGTAAGACACATATGCAACAGTTAGACAACTTAAGTTGTCTAACTGTTGCATATGTGTCTTACCTAACAACCTGTCGGTATTGTATACCATTTTGATGTTCATTGCGAATATTGATGGAAAATCCTAACAATGTCAAAATCAAATTTTCTTGATAATGGAGAGGTAAAAAATGAGAATTTTGTATTTTAGTCAGTGAATTCTAATTTACAGTATACAATACATAACTTTTTTCCTAAGAATTTATAACTTCTTGAAACATCAGAATTTATTTTCGTTATCATCTATGGGTATAATAACGGCGTAAACTAAAGACATTACTAAATAAACATATGATCTGTTCTCAGAATTATGACTTCTTTTAGTGTGCAGACACTTCAAGAAACTGACCAGAACATTTCTTGGAGAGTAATATTTTGTTCTAAGGGTGAAACATTGTCACCTCCCAAAAGTGCAGAGTTTCACTCTGGAGGGAGGAGAGGAGAGGAGAGGAGAGGAGAGGAGGAGAGGAGAGGAGAGGAGAGGAGAGAGTTCCCTGGTCGATACATTTTGGTTTGCAATCTGACTTTTAATCCGTTGTGTGTGTTCGAACTCCCACAAGATTAATAATAAAATTGTTGCAGTGAGAGCACAGGAAAGTTTGTGTACTAACGATAAAAAGTCCTGAAAATAAACAAGAAACAAGAGACAGAAGGATAGATAAAGAGGCCGCTGCCATATCCGTCTTCACTGATTTCTAAGATCATCACGAGAACAATAATGGTATATCCATCCCTTCCTTGGACGCAGAAGTGATAATGATAGTAATAAATGGAACATGGTAATTACTTGATAACTGATCACAAATTGTAGCTGCTGCCTCAACAACGAGCTCAGGATATTGGTTGATTTCAGGAGCTGTCAGTTTGCAGATAGAATTATTTTGGGCTTTTGTTGTGAGGAGATGAAAGGGAAAAAGAAATGAAAACATTAAATATTTCGTAAAATATTTTTATTCTCAAAAGAAAATGCGGGAGGAAAAAAAAAAGTAATCTGGATTTGTTTTTAAAACTCCTATTTTAACTTGTTAAAAAAGAGTCCAAAGTTATATCTATCTTGAATTTAACAAATCTTCATCCTTGCAGACGACTAACTAGGCAGGTGTACAATATTCCAGGTTTGTATTATCAAAGATTCCTGGAGACTGATAAAAAGTGATCTAATCGTTATAATCATAACTATATTTTATAAAGGGGTGGACCGGTAAGCCAGTGGAAGGCCTCGGTCAGAAGACCAGAACCTCCAGCTGCTGGTCGTCATAGACCAGCGTCAGGAAACACTTGTCCTGATTCCTAACAAACCTCACCCAGTCTAACCAGGAGACAACCGTCACTATCTCTCAGAATATAATTATTCCTTCTTGCTTAAGAGGCTTCAGAGACGAGGTTAGTAACTCTCGCAATACACCGAGTCTCTTACAGTTTGTGGGTCAACGCGTCACCTTTGGAAGGACGGGGACTGAGTGAGGTTAGGCCAAAGGCGCCGTGTAACTTTCAATAGAACACGTATTGTTAATAATCATTTAAACAAACTCGAAATACGTCTCTATTGTTTGCTTTAAAAGAAGACTTTAATATTATGTAAAAGAAAATGGTAAACTGCACATTTTTAATTTATAGGAAGTCCCTGACCGAGTTACTTACTAATTTGTGCGCGGGAATGAGTTGAAGAATAACCCAGATCTATCTTATACTACACGCAACACCAACTACCATCAGCACAAATGTCATCACTTCCTCAGTCAACCGAGAAATCACCGCCACCACAACCACAAATCAAGACCACCAGCTACAATCACCATGGCAACTACCATCGACCACCAATACCATTAACCACAACCATCCACCAACACCATCACTTTCCCTGGCTGCCTACATACACTATCTTCTGCATTATCCCGAACACACACACACTCACACAGTACATGGTGATAAACAAGACACTTGCGTCTTGTTTATCATCATTTATCTCATTTATCAACTCGTCGGTTTTCTAATTATTATTATTATAATCAAAAAGAAGCGCTAAGCCACAAGGGCTATACAGCGTCGGTTTTCTAAACCATTTATTAAAACACAGTGTATGGTAATCGCATATTTCATTACCCTATGTGGTGGAGTATAACATAGGGACGCAGTTGACTGTTTCCCCACCGTGTAACTTATACTCGTAGACTATAAAACCTAACTCTTATATGAATTATAGGTACTGGAAAAGTATAGTTAAATATGTAGAGCTGGTTTACCATAGTTGCCTTTAAGTTATTACTTAAAGAATGGAAGTAAATGGTATAAAATGCCGACACAATGGAAAAATGAACATGTAAGCAGTATGATGTGATCCTTTTTTGACAACGTTCCCCACAGTGGGCTTTATCAAGTCACAAACATATCAGATCTGTTTGTGACTTGATAATGTCCACTGTGTGGGCGAAATGTTGTCAATAAAGGATCACATTATACTGTTTACGTGTTTATTTTTCCATTACTCAAAGTATGGCCCTTTGTAAATGTTATTAAACCTCTACAGGGAGCTTTATCAGGTCGTAATATTTGATTAAGCAATGCAAGGAGAGATACTTCTCCCTGTTCTGTTGTCTCTCTTTTCACTCTGTGTACGAGTATCGAGCTTCAATCAAATGTAAAGAAATAACTGACTTTAAATTCTTCTCCTCCAGGCTCCGGCAGGACACGGTGTGTTGGTGGAGATAGTCAGACTAAGTCTGCCCAGGTCCCGTCGCTGCATCGGTAGCAGACTGCAGATTCTGCCAGGGCTGTCAGCAGACCAGGGCTATACCAGGCCGCTTGCCAAGTGGGTCTAAGAGCTTCGTGTGTGTGTGTGTGTGTGTGTGTGTGTGTGTGTGTGTGTGTGTGTGTGTGTGTATTAAAGCAAGGTAATAAGTCTGAACTGCATGACGATACCCTCATTCCCCAACTGAAGTCACCTAACTCAGGCTGAGAAATTTCATTCTATGTGATGTCGTATGACACGGTAAAACATGGTGCGTGACGGGTGTTCAAGTTGAACAAAACTGAACATGCTTACCTCTTGCTCTAACTTTCTGAAACGTCTTATAAATTAAGAAGTGTCTCAATGGGTTATGAGCCTGGCCCATCGCCGGGTTCGTAACCCATGGAGCTGGAAAAACTCTCGGAACTTATCAAAGACAAGGTGTTGCTCCCAACGTTGCATCAACGATTGCATGTGCTTTGATCCCCTGTGTTGCTTGCTTTGTTGACACTAAATCACACCGAGAAAAATTCTGGCTGTACAAGCTGAATTGTACTTATTCTGGGACATCAAGGCGATTACTGAGAGACGTGAGTCAGGAAAATTGAATCCTCAGCACCGCTGGCCTAAATTCTAATATCCCTGTCCATTGTAAAAACACTTGTGTTAAATACCAGACACTTTTGTTAAATTTAACTTCCATGCGCTGAATTCTGGTTACACGTGTTAAGATTACTAACGGTCGACGTGTTTCTTACACTGTGTAACCAATTAGTATATAATTCACTCGTATTTTAGAGAGTTTGCTACTGTCTAAGACTATTATGTTCTCAGAGAAGTCACAGTACTCAACTCTCCCGCAGTGTCCTGAGAGAATCCACACGGAAGTCATATTTTCAGTTTTCGTACACTAGAGGTGTACTGCATGACACAAGGGCAGTGAGAGTGTTCTTTCATGGCTAATATTAATGTTTCATGGCAACACGTATACCAGTGTTGCTCTCAGACGTGGAGGTATTCAGGTCACCAAGCGAAACAAGAAAGACTCTGAGAGTGAATAATAAAGAGGCAAAACCTTGCAAAACAAGCATATAATAGGACAATGTTTCGCTCTATGTAGATTCAAACCCCAGCAAAATCTTTTAGTACAACTTAAATTTGTTTACATAGTTATCGATAATACGTTATTTCATCCGGGTAAAAATCTTCGCTGTTCATTAAAAAGAATAAATGATACCAGAAATTATTTTTTTAATCTTCGTGAGAATAAATAATAGAAAACATTGTGGAAGCGGGAAATGAACACGGTTCTGAAGGTGACGCCATTACTGAAGCAGGAAACAAATGAAGGACAGTTGGAAGATGCAACTTGAAATATTTGCTAATAAACAGAAGAGGAATCCACCCAGTCAAAAAAAAAAAAACTCGAGGGCAGACAAAATTTTTATATTCATAGGGAATCGCTAAATAGATAGGAGTCGAAGGGGAGGTAATCAGGTTTGAACCTAGGAAAGGATGCAAAACTTTAAGTGACTCTCGAGAACCCTTCACCAGCATCAAGGAACCTCTCTCGTGGAAACCAGCATCAAGGAACCCCTCTCGTGGACACCAGCATCAAGGAACCCCTCTCGTGGAAACCAGCATCAAGGAACCCCTCTCGTGGACACCAGCATCAAGGAACCACTCTCGTGGACACCAGCATCAAGGAACCTCTCTCGTGGACACCAGCATCAAGGAACCTCTCTCGTGGAAACCAGCATCAAGGAACCTCTCTCGTGGAAACCAGCATCAAGGAACCCCTCTCGTGGACACCAGCATCAAGGAACCCCTCTCGTGGAAACCAGCATCAAGGAACCTCTCTCGTGGAAACCAGCATCAAGGAACCTCTCTCGTGGACACCAGCATCAAGGAACCTCTCTCGTGGACACCAGCATCAAGGAACCTCTCTCGTGGAAACCAGCATCAAGGAACCCCTCTCGTGGAAACCAGCATCAAGGAACCTCTCGTGGAAACCAGCATCAAGGAACCTCTCTCGTGGAAACCAGCATCAAGGAACCTCTCTCGTGGAAACCAGCATCAAGGAACCCCTCTCGTGGAAACCAGCATCAAGGAACCTCTCGTGGAACAGCATCAAGGAACCTCTCTCGTGGAAACCAGCATCAAGGAACCTCTCTCGTGGAAACCGGCATCAAGGAACCCCTCTCGTGGACACCAGCATCAAGGAACCTGGTTCGAGAAACGTGCGCAAACACTAGGACGTACTGGCAAGCATTTCGATCCTGGGACCTTCATATCATCTAACATACGAAAGCTGACACTTAAAAAAAATTTAAAACAAAGACGTACGCAAAAATACTGATTAAAAAAAAGTATACAGGACTGTGAATTGAAAATTAATGAGCATTTTAAGTTCGTGCGTTGAAGGTGAACAGCGAAGGTTGGGTACTGCCCAGTTGCTCAAGGCTGGTAGTTTGCTGGTAGGTAGTGGCACGATGGTGGTAGATGGTGGTAGGTTGCTATTAGGAAGTATGAAGGGTGGAGGAAAGTTGTTGATGTGGTACTGGTAGAATGGTGGTTGGGTGTTTGTAGGATGGTGATTGGAGGGCTGATTTAGTAGTAGGATGGTTGTAGTGAGCTTGTGAGGTGGTAGAAGGGAAGAATTGTGGTAGGGGGGGGGGTAGTTAGCGCTGGCAGAGGTGTATAAAATGACAAAGAAAATAAGGTGAAGCAACAAATAAAAGATTTGATTGTCACATAAAATAGCCACGAAAAAGGTAATAAACACGTCATAAAGAACGCCAGGAGGGAGGTAACAGTACCTTTGTATAAGGGTAACGGCTGTTTGATAGATACCTTTGTACCACTGTTACAGCATGCACGTAACTGGGAAAATGGTAGGACGGATAACGAGAACCTTCCAAACTAGGGACGCCAAGCCCATGATGGTTCTCTTCAAATCGCTTGTGCTCTCTAGGCTGGAATACTGCTGTACACTAACGGCCCCCTTCAAGGCTGGCGACATTGCAGACCTGGAGAGTGTACAAAGAACTTTCACGGCACACATAAGTGCGATAAGGCACCTAAATTACTGGTAACGGTTGAAGGTCCTTGATCTGTATTCCCTGGAACGCAGGCGAGAGACATGATAATATACACTTAGAAGGTCCTAGAAGGATTGGTACCAAACCTGCACACGAAAATCACTCCCTATGAAAACAAAAGACTCGGCAGGAGATGCAACATTCCCCCAATGAAAAACAGGGGCGCCACGAGTACATTGAGAGAGAACACTAAGTGTCCGGGGTCCAAGACTGCTCAACTGCCTCTCAGCCTACATAGGGGTCTACTGGTAATCCCCCTTGACTGTCTTTAAGAAAACACTGGACAGGCACCTGAAGTCTGTACCTGACCAAACGGGTTGTGGTTCGTACGTCAGCTTGCGTGCGGCCAGTAGTAACAGCCTGGTTGATCAGACCCTGATCCACCGTGAGGCCTGATCTCAGACCGGGCCGCGGGGGCGTTGACCCCCGAAACCCTCTAATATAACAAATATCCTTTGTCATGTTCATATAATTTATCTCTTATATTACTATAACGTATCTTAAGTTTATACACTTTATGCTTTTTGATACATTGGAAATTTCCTGTCAAGGGTAAAGGAAACACATTTATTATCACTCATTCCATAGCTGTTTTTCCAAAATTTCATGGACATCACAATTCGAATGACCAACCAAACTGTAACAGCCCTACTTATGCTTCAGCGAGCGCGCTGTAATTCCTACCTGCTCGAGCCCGGCTAATGAGATTATCTGAAGCCTTATATAAACGCTACCTTGCTTACACTCCAACAGCATGTTAAATCCCAAAAAGATTTTGTTTCCACCTCCTCAGATCTTAGCTCCTCTGCCAGATGCTCGAGCCACTACCGCATTAAACTCCCTCATATCCATCTTTACATATAACCCATCAGTGACTTGTTATTGTGCTTAAAGTTGGTCACTGAGGCTGCATGTAACCTGTACACCAGTCAATTATACTTTAATTAATAGAACAAGATTTGAGAAATCTCCGAGGATATATACACAAGAGACATTACAGCTATTGGAATATATATAACCTCGTAATGTCAGGAAATGTACATACCAACTTTCAAAAAGAGTTTATATAATAAAGTATAAAGCTTCTGTAAAATGATATATAACAGTCACTATGTGACAAAAACGACTCTCTTGAAGCTCACCCAAAGTGGTCAGGTCACTTAACCTTTCTTACCTCTCTTCCTGTCTACCAACAACCTTTTGCACTGATCTATCCTACCCCAACCCTGCACCTCAACATTCTAATCACAGCTTAAACCATACCCCCGGCCGGGATTGAACCCGCGGTCATAGAGTCTCAAAACTCCAGCCCGTCGCGTTAGCCACTAGACCAGCTAGCCACAGTTTTGAGACTCCATGACCGCGGGTTCAATCGCGGCCGGGGGTATGGTTTGTTTGCAATCGTGTCATTACGATTTCTTGAGTCATGTTCACAGCTTAAACACCGAGGCAATACATTGGATGTATATTCTGATTAGAATATTTCTTGATGTGTATGCCTTGAGAGCCTCAATGTATATACACTAGCAAGGGTACATAGCTCAGCATGTATATTATAAACACTGTATTAGTGATGAAATTATCCTTTTCTGGCGTTTACCTGGTGTATACGTGGAGAGGGTTTCGGGGGGTCGACGCCCCCACTTTGAATCATTTCGAAAACCTTGAGTTTTTAGGTATGATTTGAGATGGTCCCCCATGTGATGGTAAGTATATTATTATAATAAAAAGAATCGCTAAACCAGGTGGTAGGTATATTTGTCAGGAAACAGGACAAGTATTTCCCGACGTGGGTCTTAGTCATATGATGACCCACAGCTGGAGCTTTCAGTCATTTGACCGAGGCTTTCAATTGGCTTACCCCTTCACTCCTTTAAAAACCATGGTTACCATTATAACCATTATTGCAGTAGTTTCCCCATGTGATGCGCTGCTATATATGATAATGTAACTGTATTTGTGTATTCCTGAATGACATACTATGCAGACGGCCTGTACTTTTGAGGTGGAAAAAATGCAGCATCCACACAGTAAGAAACACTCAGAAAATAAATTTGTGTAATGAGTAGCGAAGATTGTGACCTAGTAAAAAAAACAACTTATTTGATATTGTAACAGGTCAGAGGTCAATATAACAAACTGGTAAAACAGCGTTAATAACTCATTCTATCATTCTACCTTATTCCTAGTATATTTCCTATATAGTATGATAATAAGGTATTAAAATGACCCCAATGGAGATACGTCACTGACTTTTTTTGGGTTATCCCAGGTTTACATATATTCTGTTATATATAATAATCTATGTAACAACTGTGTTTGTGTATACCTGAACGAACTTAATAAGCATTCACTAAATTTAAAATAGATCACCCTAAGTTCGTTTTCTTTGGAAGAAAAAGAAAACTTCTCTCTCTGGGGTAACTTACCCTTGTAACCATTGAGACCCTGGGTCAATCTACACACAATTTATTAAATACCCATTATCTAGGGAAATATATTGCAAGTGTAGTATTCCATTTATGACCTACTTGACTTTCCTGATGTGATGTATATAGAAATCTAGCAACTGTAGATGACAGTTCAGGAGATACTACAAGGACCACAATGGAAGTCACTTTGGTTGACTTTCTTGGGTTATCCGGGTGGGTAATTTAGTTATGTGTAGCTGTACCTAAACTTATGTAGACTCCAACCCAAGACAGGAAATGTTGTGTCAACTAATGCCCCTTTCCAGGGAGGAGCAATGATGCCGGGGAGAGGTTCTTGATCCAAAGATCTGGACCTGCTCTCACCTTCCGCGGATCGGACCTAAATGCTTCTTACTCCCAGGCGCTACACGATTTCTACGGGTTTAACGCTTCCATATGATTAATGATAATATTACTATTATTATTATTTTGTTTCCTGTCCATAGGTAGTAAAGATTTGGAACTAAAATATATCGCTAAGAGATTCTCAAACATTTCACCATTGATTTATATTAAAATTGGTGCGCGCGCGCTCACCTATTTGTGGTTGCAGGGGTCGATTCACAGCTCCTGGCCCCGCCTCTGCGCTGGTCGCTACTAGGTTCACTCTCTCCCTGCTCCATGAGCTTTATCGTATCTCTTCTTAAAGCTATGTATGCATTTTGCCTCCATTATATCACTCCAGATTGTTCCACTTCCTGACAACTATGTCTGAAGAAATGCTTCCTAACATCCCTGTGACTCATCTGAGTTTTTAACTTCCAGTTGTGACCCTTTGTTGCTGTGACCCATCTCAAACATCCTGTCCCTATCCCCCCCTTCCCCTGTCAATTCCTCTCAATATTTTATATGTCGTTATCCTATCCCCCCTATCTCTCCTGTCCATCTGTGTATGTGTAACATAGATTTTGACACATGAACGTCATATATTTCTAGGTTCTGTGGACGGACACCCAGAACAAAGTTATGGAAAACAACGTTCTCTGAGGTGGATATTGAATACAGGAACAGCAAAACCGGCGGTCTAAAAGTGAAGACCGGAGGGAAAGACCCCAGAAGCAATGCATTTCAAAATCTTAACTCTAACAACAGAAACAGAACACATCCATCGTCACGTCCTTACCCCAGAAGACCTTTGGCATCCACTAGAGCCGAGAAACTAGAGCGGATCAAGGCCCTACAACGATTATATCAACTCAAAAGACAGGGAAATAATCAGTCCCAGACAGAGAGGAGCCTCAAGCAGCCCACGCAGAGCAGAAGGCGTTATTATCAATACCAACAGTCCAATAGTCGACGTTTCTACAGACATCTAAATGCGTCTACAGATAGCTTCTCAGATCTCCCTGTCAGCCACAACCTGCTAGTGGATGGTGATCGTTATGTGTACGATCTAGAGAGCAAGACATATGGGGCCGTATCAGACCATCCCAAAGCAAAGACTGTCAGACTTCTCAGTGTTGGTGAACCCTCCTGGATTAACTCCAATTTCATCAGCCACGACGGGATAAACAATACTGATATTATCCACTACATGGAAGAGCCGATCACGGTGCAGGAAACTCTTCAACGTCATAAGAAGAAAAATTCGAAAAAGCCCAAGAAATCAAAGCGAATTAAATTCCTCAGCGAGTTGATTAATGCTTCTCCAGGAGAGTCGACTGAGAGACACCCGAGGTCCCCTCAGGCGGAGTCAGAAACTGACCGCCGGAGCAATGGCCGCCAAAAGAACCATCGCGCGCGATACCATATCACCCGCGGTCGTAATAATTCACGTAGACAGCAATACAGAGTCACTATCACTAACCATAAGCGTCCCAGCTCTGGCAGAAAAGTCCCCGCACTACCACGCAAGGCGCTGGATACCATCCCTTATCACTCTCGAGGACGTAATGAAATTATTCCTCAAAAGCCCACCAAACCCAATATTCATGGCGGCGGGAAGCATCCGTATACCCCCATGAAGAACTTTGGATATAAACATCCCATAGACGAGCAGAGGCCAGAGGTGCCAAGTCAACCTGTGGAAGGAAGCAGTGCAAAGAGACCAAAGGAATATTTTGTAATTAAGGTAAAGAATTAATTTCGAGTTTCAAGTTTTCCTCTGCTAATTATGTGTTATAATTCATACTTAAGGAGTTCACTGAGGCTTATTTTCATGGGATGTGCTAAAGGTTTTGACATTAATGTGTTCAACAATCTTGCCATTTGGATACAGAAGTAGAACTAGGGATAAATTTAGGAAAAAATCCCAGTAACAAAAATAAAATTGATGTGTAACTGCACTGCCCTACCATCTGCAATAGGGTATTATTGGCAGTTAAAATACATTAGACCAAACATGTATCTACCGCTAGACATAATATTTAGTGGACATCAGGCATAGGACAAATATACTTAGGTTGAAATTGTTGTATGGACATAAAACACACTTTTATAGACTATGATGGTGGAGACGTTTCTGTGAAAAGATACCGACCAAGCTCTCCTGACCCTGACGAAAGATCTCTTGAATTAAGTTAACCACGGTTACAGGTTTCTGCCTTCCGGAGCGGGTGTGGAGGTAAGGTGAGGGAGGAGAAAGGAAGATTCTCCAGCCCTGGATACCCGCGTAAGACAGGTGGCAAGACTTCCTGCTTCTGGAGGTTCAAGGTAGGAACCCATTATTATTCGCAGGACTGAATGGATTCCTTCATCTTTGTCTAAGGAGAATCATCCTCCTCCTTACCCCCCTTCCCCAGAATAAGCGCCTCACCCATTTATACTTGATCCAACTCTTACGTACACCCACTGTTTCTTGAAGCCAGTCATCTATGGACTTCATTACACCAGACTACTTTTGTCGTCTCTAATCACCAATATCTTACGAATCTCTTCTTTCCTCGCAGTCACTTCAGATCACCCATTAGATGCCTTCCCATCCACTGAAAAATTAAAACGCTTACAGCATTGGGGAATGTTGCAAAAGTTGTCAATTTTTCAGTTTCCCATCAATTACTCCTCTATGAAATGTCATCTCAGCCTAATTCATGTTTGCCTCAGACTCCTGCTGGGAGTCACTGGAAGCTGGAGTGCAAGGATTTCCGTATCCGCAAGTCTGAACAGTGTCTACGCGATCACCTAGCCATCAGAATCAACGATGCTGGCTGGTCAAGGTGGGTTTGAAAACTATTTAAATCAATTACTTTTCTGAGTTTGTTGATATGTTTAGGGTGCAGAGTGTTTACGTCTAATTATTTATGCCTATTTGTGTTTTTCCCTGTTTATGTCCGGCCGTGTTTGCATCCACGTACCTGTTCTTATCTGATTATTATTATAATCAAAAAGAAGCGCTAAGCCACAATGGCTATACAGCTATTCTTATCTGATACAATTTTATATATGGCCGTCTTCGTCAGCCATGTTTGTCTAGCCATCTTTATACCTCCTCTTCTTTATGTTTGCTCCTGTTAACATCATACCACATTTACACTGAATAACGTTTGTCTCAACGCATTTAATATATTGTGGTTAGGTTCGTTCCATGTTATTGGCTTGTGTTCATATTAAAATCATGTCGTGCTGCAGGTACTGCGGGCGGGAGGGACCCAGTTTAGCCCTCACCTCCTCCCACCAGGCTTCCGTCGACGTTGTTCTCAACACCTTCAGGAACAACTCTGCCAGAATCTACTGCTCCTGGGATACCACGCGAATAGGTAAGTGTAGATTATATTTAACGTTAATTACTAAGCCAATGTGTTTGTCTACTTCCTGGTGGTGACACACGCACCTTCTCCTGTCTGTGACATCCTGGAGTTAACCCATGGAAGGGGTTCGAATCTCTACACATTAAATCCATGTGGGTTATTTATCCAGCGCAAGGCCTAGTGAAGGCTCTATCCTCTGTCCGTTAATCGCGAGACATACTACCAGACTGAACTTGTGTACATGTGGATAAGAGGTGTTGTAGATGTACAGTGTGGTAATACTATTACCACACTGTACACCTGTCTTCGGTGGTTTGGTTGATAACGTCCTCAGCTCACATACTGAGGAGTCCAGAATCGATCCCCGGTACGGGTACAAACATTGAGCACATTTCCTTCCACTTGTCGTTCCTGTTCACCTAGCAGTAAGTAGGTACTTGGGTGTTAGTCTACTGTAGCTGTGGTCTGTATTAGTTGTTTCATGTACTTATAGAAATAAAAAATAATTATTCTTGTTATTACTAATTCTTAACTGTTCTCAGTGTTGCTACGCAAAAATTTCCCTCATTAAATATTAAGTTGATTCGCAGATGAAGCGGAACAACAGCAGCATCACAACTACGGTAGATATTGGAGCTACAACCTCACCCGTGCCACCACAACTACCACCACCACCACTACAACCACAACCACAACCACCACTCCGCCACCTGTAGCATCGCCAGCTAGGTCAGAGCACGAATTTTGCATCACTTAAATCAGGGGGGATGTACTGTGGTCCTGGTGAAAAGCTTTTAATTCATGAAACAGGAACCACTTGTTTCGGATCAAATCTGATTGCTTCTCAATCTCCCCAGGTGTTTAATTCATATGGGGTTAGCACTTCGCAGTGTTACTGCTGTTATTCAAAAAAATTATACCACTCCTACCTGTCCTTGCTTTCAACTTCATTGTCTTCCATCCACATAGGTGTTGTATAACCCCCTACGGTTTTATCTCAAATAATGTACCCGCTTTCGGGCCAGCAGGTGGAGCTGCCAAGACTACACCCGCTTGACGGCAGAACACACCATGTGCAAGTCTACACCCTCCACCTGCTCCATCTACCACGAGGGTGTCACTAGACACGACATGGCGGCCATCGTAGAGACGCACAACAAGTACCGGGCCAAGGTGGCCCGCGGGGAAGAGGGCGAGGGACTGCCCGGGCCACAGTACTCGGCTTCAGACATGCAGGAACTGGCTTGGAACGACGAGCTGGCTCAGGTGGCTCAAGCCTGGGCCTCGGCATGTCCAGATTACCACGACTGCCATGACTGCCGCCGAGTTCTCTCCAGTAAGATACTGTTCCTCTCTAGTACCACTCACTGCCATACATTATTTACCAGTGAACTTAAAATCCCGGTTTTAACCCTCTTTGCCCACCTTCATAGAAGGTCATATTAACCTGGGTGGCACATTTTCTTGAAACTGTAGACGTTTCGGTCAATTCTATACTATTATCAAGCCACGACAAGCGTCCATAACGAACCGAAAATCGCCTAAACTTTCCAAATTATGGTTTAGCTGTGATTTGTGTAACATTATTTCTCTCTCAAAATAACCTATGAAATGTAAGTTAATTCCTTGCTCCTAGCACACAATTACCACTGCGTGACCCAGTTGGGATTATCTGTTCCCTGTAAATATGATGCATGTACTCAGTAATAACCCACATGGGGACAGAAACCCAGAAGACGAGCCCAGGAGGGGGTCGAAATATACAGATCAATTAATCTCCCGAGTTTCTGTCTCCATGTGGGTTATCATCGAGGACTGACAAGTGTTCATTACATCTTATTCATGATTCCTATCTTTATTCATTACCTCTCATCCACTCATACAGCTTTCGTGTCGTCAGTTCCACGTAAGTATATTCCAAAACATTGCTAAGTATATTCCAAAATATTGCTTAGTATTTCAAAATTTTGCTAAGTATATTTCAGAATTTTGCTAAGTATATTTCAGAATATGGCTAGACAGAAAATATTTCAGGAAATTTTATTTGTTGATTAGCATTCTTACCCATTTGTGGTTGCAGGGGTCGAGTCACAGCTCCTGGCCCCTGCTTCTGTTTAACTAGGTTTGCTGGCTGGTCTTGTACAGTATCAAGCGAGATACTTTAGTGATATTTATCAGTTAAATTGTTTGAACGCCGATATGTGTGTGATATATATATATTATGCCTGATCTAGGATATATTTAATATAATTTGGCTAAAATAATACATTAAGCTAGGTTAAGTTAGCTAGACTTCTAACTTACATCATTGTCAGTTAAAAATATGTCAATCTATTTTTTTTTTTAAAGTCCAATTTTTATGGACTTGGGCCTATTCGGCAACTTCTCAATTTTAGTTTTGATCCTGCAATAATTTCACACAGCTGGACAATATCTATCTTTATAAACCATCTGTAAATATCTATTATTTAAACATCTAAAAATATTTGCACATAATCTATAAACATCTATTAACGATCTAAAAACTATACTCAATTATCAGAAATCTATAAATATTTTTACACAGCAGAGTTAGACAGCCGTAATAAATGAAGTTGTTCCATCAGTTAAAAAGCCATAATAAATTAAGTTGTTCCATCAGTTAGCCATAATAAATAAAATTGTCCCACCAGGAGACTACTACGTGGGCCAGAATATCTTCTACGAGTGGAGTAGCAGCAACCCCGGCTCTGTCTGGGACACAGCCGTCAGGCTCTGGTACGAGGAGGTCAAGTATGTCCCTAACTACCTTACTACAAACTTCAGGTAAGTCACAGCACCTTTGATCATACTTCTGTCTTCATCTCCCCTCAAGGAAGGTTCCTTGATGTTGGTGAGGGGCTCTTGATTATAATAATAATCTGTCTTCATCTCCCGTATCTTAAATCTATTTTTGTTAAGGTATATTTTATGTTTGGAGAAAGCGTAGTAATAAACAGATAAATTTATAACTAACTTGCCCTGGGGATTAGCTCATTCTGTGAGTATAAAGTCATATGATTGTGTGTTCATTTAACTATTCAAACGTAGATCTACGTTCACGTGCATAGCACTCCGAACGTAGATCTACGTTCACGTGCGTAGCACTCCGAACGTAGATCTACGTTCACGTGCGTAGCACTCCGAACGTAGATCTACGTTCACGTGCGTAGCACTCCGAACGTACATCTACGTTCACGTGCGTAGCACTCCGAACGTAGATCTACGTTCACGTGCGTAGCACTCCGAACGTAGATCTACGTTCACGTGCGTAGCACTCCGAACGTAGATCTACGTTCACGTGCGTAGCACTCCGAACGTAGATCTACGTTCACGTGCGTAGCACTCCGAACGTAGATCTACGTTCACGTGCGTAGCACTCCGAACGTAGATCTACGTTCACGTGCGTAGCACTCCGAACGTAGATCTACGTTCACGTGCGTAGCACTCCGAACGTAGATCTACGTTCACGTGCGTAGCACTCCGAACGTAGATCTACGTTCACGTGCGTAGCACTCCGAACGTAGATCTACGTTCACGTGCGTAGCACTCCGAACGTAGATCTACGTTCACGTGCGTAGCACTCCGAACGTAGATCTACGTTCACGTGCGTAGCACTCCGAACGTAGATCTACGTTCACGTGCGTAGCACTCTGAACGTAGATTTACGTTCACGTGCATAGCACTCCGAACGTAGATCTACGTTCACGTGCGTAGCACTCCGAACGTAGATCTACGTTTCTTTTTACATGCTTTCAAATGGAGAAAATTAAGGTTGGAGTACTACACGCGTGAACATAGATATACCTTTACACAGTTTAAGGGTTTTTCAACATATTACGGTTGATAAAAAAAAAAATGAGGATATAGTCACTGAGTCTCATTCTCGAGCACCAGAAACAAAAATCTTCCTCAAACAATATAAGAACAATTCGTTCTTTGCTAATATTTTGACTTTTTAGCAAAATTTCAGAATATTAACTACCCCAGCCCTTAAATCTTGTATCAGAGTAATGGTCAGAACACTTGTGAGAATATCAATAATATAATGATAATAATTTAGTCATAAATATATGTTAGAAAACTATTCAGAGAGGACGACAAAGATGCACCGCTAATATTATGACACTCAGGATAGTTTAGGCAAGTTTGCCTTGAAACAACAAAAGTGTTTCCTAATGCTGGTCATGTGATGACCCCGCAGCTGGAACTTTGGGTCATCTGACCGAGGCCTTCCACTGGCTTACCGATCCATCTCTTTAAAAATTATGGTTATGCTTATAACCATTAGATTATTTAAAGTATGACGCTAGTGGGCGAAACGTCTTCGAAATAAAGATACCCAGGTATTCATACAAGTCTAACACAGCAACATATTTGTAGCAGGCCAGTGATTACTACGAGGAACTCAGTCAAGAAGTTTGTCTGGCCCAAAGTTAAAAAACAAGATAAAGTTATGAATTAATTGCAGTCTGGGCAGATAACAAGTATATGGGTAGTAACAGTGGGTCAGTATTATTTTTATACACTGGAGAAAAGCTAATCGAGTGAGATATATCCAATTACTTCGATCAAAAGCCTTCGCCGTCATCAGGGTGCCCCTGGAGAGAGCCGGCCAGTAAGACTACTGTTGTCTGTATCTATTTGTAAGAGTTTGCAGAGGTGTGAGCTGTACCTCTTGGTCCCTGCTCTTAGCTCTCGGCTGACACCAGTCAAAACTATTTTTGAAGTGAATGTTGTGAATGCTCCCCTCATAAAAATTCTTGTGAAATGTGTGTACGCACGCCAGTCAGTATCAATTGTACACCATTCAATATCAGGTGTGAAAAACAACAGAGTTAAGTTAAACAGTTTTGAATTATAATTGTTCTTGTCACAGGTCGATGGATCACGCAGTTATCGGACACTACACACAGTTGGTATGGGCTAACACTAGGGAGATAGGCTGTGGTGCAGCCTACCATGACTGCACAAAGGAATTTAAAGGTCGCTTGTGGAAGCTTAAATGCAAGATCTACGTGTGTAACTACGGCCCCACGTTAGTACTATTGTGTTTTAAAGATTCTTTGGTGGTTTCTTCAGCTTACCCTAAGTGCTTCGAAGTTTGTAATTTTGCATATATACACGAGCCATTGACTGTAGTTAACTATATAGTCACTATTTGTTTATTTCAGTGGTAACTACCTCAAAAAGCCTATGTATAGCATTGGACCAGCCGCCTCCGCCTGCCCAAACAACTCTCGCCCATCACTGGAGTTCCCTGGACTCTGTACTTCCCACTGACAAGTTTTTCGGCCTATGTAACTTCCTCGGTTGTCTACGTATTCCACTAGCAAATGTCTCACTCTCAGTGTCCACCAGCTTCTGAACCACTGCCGAGTCCACCACTCAAAAGTGTCTATCGCTATAAATGTTAACATCAAAGCTGGGTTTTAAAAGTCGTATTTGTACAGTCATTAATGTGCCTTTGCGATACAGAGACTAAAAAGGCACAATACCGTGAGTGGAACAATACACAAAACGCACATAGGAGAATGAGACTTGTGACGATGTTTCGGTCTCACTTGCACCATTAATTAGTCACGAACTAGTTAATGGTCCAAGTGACTAATTAATGGACCAATTCGGACCGAAACGACGACACAAGTTTCATTCTTCTATGTGCTGGTTCTATGTATTTCACGATACAAGTTCGTCAGAGAACAGTGTTGGTGCTGTACCTGTGAGGCGACCACTTCGAGTGAAGTCACGCTAGTTAACAATTAAGAAAAAAAATCAATACTTTTAATTGGAATAGACCGAATACAATCGTGATGTTGGAGACACATACAATAACATTACTAATGTGGCAAAGAAATTTTTGAAATTGAAGTGTATTGTGTTTAATGTTGGAATGAAGTGCATTTTATTTTACAAGAAGGTTGTAGCTATGGTGCTCACTCCTCCGCGAGGCTCCAGCTCTTGTCCTCCAATGGCAATATTCAGAAATTTCTTAATGGCCATTAAGACTAATTGACGAGACAAAAGGGATTATTATTATTATTATAATCAAGGGGGAAGCGCTAAACCCGGAGGATTATACAGCGCCTGGGGGGGGGGATGTGGAAGGCATTCAGGCTTAATTCGGGGAACTGGAGCACAGATCCAATTCCCTAAATCAAGAGCCCCTCACCAACATCAAGGAACCTTCCTTGAGGGGAGAGAGAGAGACAAAAGGGAACAATTACTGGTGGAATATTAGCTGCGAGTGAAATTCACTACATGTGTAAAGAGTGAAAAATCTAGTGGCAATATTTTAGACTAGTGGAGAGTCAGCCAGACGTATTTCCTGGATGAACTACTTGTTAAAGGAAATATTTTAAGCATGTAGTGATGAACAGTTCCTAGTTTTGGATCGTTAATTCAGCTAGGACACTGTTTTTATTTGTGCTATCTGTACCTGTTCAGTCACAGGAAACTGAGTAATTTCTTTTGACCGTTCAGGATTCCGATTCACTGAATGCATTCAACAATTTCTCTCGGAGTCTATAAGTGTCCCCGTCTTTATCTTCTCTTCTAGAAAAAAATATATGGGAGAAATGCACACACTCCCATGACGACCAAGTGCTTTAGTGAAGCCGATTTTCAGATGTAAACTGAGACTTAGTGAACACAAGGCACCTGATACCATGTTGCGTATTTTTCTTGACAGATGTGATAATTATCTTGTGTAACTCATGGAGCTTTTACACTGGTGTGAATATAGCGTTTCTTGACAAACTGTATCCAAGTTGCATAGACAGCAGTGAACAAAAGAAACACGTTACCAAAAAAAAAAAATTAAGTGGGACAACGTTTCGCTCTGTATAGAGATTTACAAAGCTCTATACAAAATCATGACTCGACAGCTCTTCACAGAGCGAAATTTTGTGCCAGTGAGAGAATTCTGTATAGTCTCTACACCTCTGGCAAAATTTCTCTGTTTACACGAGTGGAATGGAACTGGGTAATGGAGTGTTAGAGTGACGATGGTTATGATAATCATGGTGGTGTGTATGGTGTTGCTGCAACCTCATTATGTTCGCTATGGAAATGATTTTATTACTCGCACTTACCCACTAAGTCTTAGCCTGTTTATGTATAGGTGGAACCCAAATTCAACGGTATAGGATTATTTTTAGATCACATTAAAGACCGTCATCTGGTTATGTGGAGAGTAATCAGACGGAAAATATCCATGTAGGTTATTGGTGTATGTTACCCATACAGTGTATGGTTCACTCAGCGTGTATATGTATATATGCGTGTGTTTGTACGTGTTCGTGTACACAGATGTGTGTATATACAGTACATATTTTATAAAGAATTAAACACATCAATGTACTTCTATTTATGCTAGAAATGTGTAACTTCTTCGGCAGAATAAGAATGTCTCTAACTTATATTCTTTAGCATCTAGAGCTTAAGGACGACTGTGCTGGTGCAGTTCATGCTTCTATTATATGTATTAGAACACGTCAGATTTATCATATTAAGATCTTTATATTCCAACACTGCGCAGCTGCTTTTCAAATAAGAGTATTTTCTTGAAGAGGTGCTAAAACAAATTAAAATTCTTTTAAGTAGTGTTGGAGATATGGATTGATCCCTTAAGGTGGTGTTTTAAGGGACCTGATCCCCTATAGGCAGGGGTGGGTAAATATTTTGACCAGTAAAGCCTGCTTAAACAAGCTTTCGTGGGCCACACACCCTTGTCAGTATAAAACTATAAATGTTTATTAAGGCAGACCACACCGTTTACATAGAGTTTACATGGAGCTCCGGGGGTCAACGCCCCCGCGGCCCAGTCTGTGACCGTAGTCAAAGTTAAAGCATTACAAGCTCACAGAGGTCACCCGAAGCACATAACTCAGCATTTGGAGAATTAAGAAAAATAATCCTCACTTTATGGTCAAAGTGAAGTCACTGCTGGTACACAATATGGAAATATAACCCACATAACTAGGTAACAACGTATGATAAGCTCACAGATGTGATACCTACATTCGCCTGGTGGTAGACGGTAGGTGATGTGGCCCATACCTTACTCCTGAGTCAGAAGGAAACCAAATGAAAGGAGAGAAGAGAAAAATGGAGAATTCTTGGGAAATGAGGTGGGAATCTGTAGGTATGAACACTAGAGTACAGGTGGCGCTGACATGCACTCACCCTGAGGTTACCAGAGATGAAACCAAAGGAAAGTAGCCGTCCTGAAATCAGCCTTAAGTGGTTTATATTGTGTGGCGTGTTGTCAAGCCGCTGCTTTGGCTACCCAACACACATGAATATAACATAAACAAATCGAAATGCATTCTTTCTTATATTGGAGATTAAAAAATTTCATAATTTGCTAGACAGCGGTGGGCCAGATAGATTTCCTTGGCCCTGGGGCCGTATATTGCCCATCCCTGCTTTAAGGGTTGTTGTAACAACGGGACTCATCTCTCAATTGCCAGAAGTTGTCCACCCTCATATTTTTCTTCTGGTTCTGCTGAGTTCTTGAGAAGCTGTACTCTCTAAAGAGACAAATTTACTAGAACCCTAATGGAAATAAGTCACTTTGTCCGATTTTTTAGAGGATTATCCTAGGTAATTTACACTATGTATGATAATTGTACTTATGTGTACCTGTGCCTAAATAAACTTACTAAAGTGGCCCTAGAAAACATCCTTCAAACAATATTCTCGTTGTTCAAGTCAGTAGAATATAACCGGAGAAAGATTATGTGTGTAGGGGCGAGGAGAGGTCGAATACTGTGTTGATCGTTCAATTTGATGGTTGATCTCGACGATAGGTTAGATTTCAGCAACTGTATTGCTAGTGAACTGATTATTTGTAGCAGTCTGCTGAGTAAATAATTTGAAGGTGTTCAGTCCCTTAACTTCAGTTATAAATAAATAATTTTGAAGGTGTTCAGTCCCTTAGCTTTAGTTATAAATAAATAATTATTAATAAAACATTGTACAAAAACATTTCATTCCTTTAGCTATGATTAATGAAGTATTGTACAGAAGTTGTTTATAAATATATAGAAAATTAACATGTAATAGGTGTAGCAAGAATCTTCTGCAGTGATTCTTTTAATTCTTTCCCGACGAGGGATTAGGTTAGGTTAGATACGTCAGGAAACAAGACAAGTGTTTTCTGACGAGAGTCTTGTTCACATGACTCGCCACTGGAGCTTTTGGTCATCTGACCGAGGCCTTCCACTGGCTTACCCGTCCACCTCTTTAAAAATTAGTTATAATAGCTTCCCCTGACGGGTGTCTACTATACCAAGAAGGTGAGTTACGGGAAAGTGATGACTGAAAGGATGAACTTTAAGACAGTGTTCTTCCCACTAGACTGAGAAAGTTACTAGAACTCGACTTTTTTTTTTTTTAGTGGGGATATTCAGTGAAATAAAATGATTTATACATGTGTTTCCTTCAGCAAGGTCAGATGAGTGTGAACTCGTGTATACCACAAGGTCAGATTAGTGGCTCAGTTGGCAGCACACTCGACTCTCATGCTGACTGTCCGTGGTTCGATTCCCGGCATGTGTAGACAGTAGGTCTACCCACCTGTTTCACATGCCACTAAAGGGAGTTACTGACCTAGGCCTGGTTTCTAAACTTCCCACTAGATGTCAGGCACCGAGGTGGACCCACACTGCCTGGCATCTACCTCACTCTGCCTGCACCGGACCTACAGACAAGACCTCTTAGACCCTTAGAGTTCGTCTCCTGGCGTCCCCATACACGTCCTGCCTATGTACCCATTAGAAAAATAAATCCACGCTAGTCTGCGACCTTTTAGTAATCTTCTGTATTGCCTATTCTACCAGAAGATATGACATATAGTGGTTTTACACATGGAAACACTGGGCAGGTTTCATTACACCTGGTCCCCCTGTTCACCTAGCAGGATGTAGGTACCTGGGTGTTAGTCGACTGTTGTGGGTGGCATACCAGGGGGTGGTAGTTCTTAGGGCCAGGCTTCGACGTAACCTGTGGTAGGAGAACAGCTTGTAACCTGTAAAATTTTATTTTTGTTAAAAAGTATTTCCTCCAGAGGTGTCAGTCGATAAGGTACCAGTCGAGTGTGTGGTGTATTAATCACTGCCAGAACCACCAGCATCACCACTCAGATCCCTTCACCTACCCGTTGGATAGTTCCAAACAGCTTACTGTTGACAACAGTGAAACAGATGATGAAGTTACTATAACAGAACAAATTTACTATCTCAGTGAAAGCTTGTGCTCGTACTGACGAGGGTGACAACACGTCCCTCTCTACGTCTTAATATTTCCAGTCCCTACGTGCTAATAAACAGCGAATATTTAATGATGATCTTGCTTGGCAACGTATTACGTTGACAAAATGCCTTTCCAAGGAGTATGTTTTGGCTATGCTAAAGGAAACTAGTAACTACAGAGAAAATGGAATTAAATCCATTTACCTCAAAAAAAAAAAAAAAAAAGTTCCCTCTTAAATTATAGTAAATAAAAACAACACGTCCTCTTTGGAGGACGGGTTGGTGACTGAGTGAAGATGACCTGCGACTCGTGCTGGAGTTTTTACATGCACGAATGTAGATGAATGGTTCAGAGAACCGACAAGTTGATAAATTAAACGCATATGCAACACTTGGATATCTTTGGATACCTCATTATAGATACCCAAGTGTTGCACATGTGTCTAATTTATCACACGCAGGAATACACGCATATCTGTTCTGAATCCTGGAGTTCCAGAGTCATCTTGCTTAATTCTAAGTATTGTAAATATATTAATAAACTATTTTGTACTGCCCCTCTAGCATGGAGGTTAATGGTTGGTGGCCCTATTCTTAAGACACTCTGGAAAAAAATCATTGATGTGAATCCAGCAGCACTTAAAGTTATAGATTAAGTAGTGTCTGAATATGAAAGTTGGTAAGTTGAGGCCACCGGTTACTAGTCAATACATGTCTTAGATTTTAATAATAAAGGTCTGGATAATGATACATCTACTCTTATTATCCTCGTACTCCTGACTTCATCCTCGTATTGTTGATGCATACACACAATATCAGTCTCATGTCCGAGGAATAAGGTTTACTGATTTAACACTGAATAGCCAAGCAATATGGTAATTGTATCTACTCACCGACCCAGTTCTGCGACCGCTTCTTACATCTGGGTAGAAGTAGCCACTGGGTAGACGTTTCGCCCTCCAATGGCTTTATCAGTACAATACACGGACATAATTTGAAGACTGTATATATATATATATATATATATATATATATATATATATATATATATATATATATATATATATATATATATATAGAGAGAGAGAGAGAGAGAGAGAGAGATAGGACAGTGGAAACAATAAGCACTTATCGATATTGTATACCACTGATATGCAAAAGCTGATATGATTGAATCTACTGAGAACCTAGAACCAAGTGTTCCCAAGCGAACCTCTTCTCATTCCCTGGGTTGCCCTGCCGAACACACACACACACCGGAGATAATCGTACTGGTACTTAGCATGAGTTAGAAATCTGTAAACCCACTGTGTGACACCTTGCTAATTTAGTGCTTAATTTGATTAATAATAATAATAATAATTATAATAATAATAATAATAATAATAATAATAATAATAATAATAATAATAATAATGTGCTACCGGTCTTCCATTAGTGAAAGAGGAAAGGATATCATGAACCATCCTGCGTAGCTATGACAGCGAGAAAAATTCAGACAAGAACGAGGAACGAATGCCGATGTGGAACGCATACAAATGTGAATACTGCTACGAATGTAGTGAGAATAGCTACAACTCGCCGAAAGATTCCTCAGCAGCACTCGTGCGTTCCCTGCTACGGGGTAAAGGTCAGGACAGGACCTCTACCATGTCCTCTGGCGAGTACAAGGACTACGACTTTGAATACGATGGTACCACCGAAGTATCAACAAAAATTTTCGTAACCTCGGTCGAAATTTATCACGATTTCGCAGTGACACGAAAGTTGCTTTCCTAAGGTGGTGTAGGATAGACCATGTAAACCTCGACTTCATCAGGTTGGTTACAGTGGTCTTGATAAAGGAGTTTGTTTGATAAAAGGAATTTGTTGACAGCACAGCATAACCGACGATAAGATAAGAATCTAACTAACTCGAGATGAGTAAATTGGCTGATAACTGAGATTCATAGCAATATTCAGAGTCGATCAATTGTTCAACCACAGCAATTGCAGGAACATCCCAGCTAGGCTACTACTGCATGGAGGCCTGAGCCGGCACTAGTAGCTAAAGTGCCAAATACTAAGCCGCCAGTTATCAGAAACTCGTTCAGTCTGACAGGCCCGGTACGGTACAAGCAGATCTCTCACTTTTAAGGTAATTAATTTAATTAAGACATTTAAGTTTAAGATTTTAGGTTTCTAGAAAAATGCAATGTTCACAGAAATTATAGCCACAGTTCAAAACCCTCAAAGAAGTCCCTTTGATGTCCCCTGTGTTCGTATCGACGTCCTTAAAAAACAATGCGTATTAAAGGCCATAAAATCCGAAACTCTCTGCCTGAAATTTTCCAAGGTTCTTTATATGCCAACAAACAAATAAATCCTAAAACATACTATTAGTTAGTTGTGTCGCCCGAGCGACTAGTTTGTTGTGCACCGCAGCTCATACTGTGAGCGCAAAAAAAAAAAAAAACAGGATTACATAGGTATCAATGGGTCTTTTGTCAGACCCACTGAGCATAGTAGCATCACTAGAAATAATTATTAGTCATTTCACATTATATTATTACTTGATATAGTTGATGTACACGTCACAAAGATGCGTTATATCACCATGGTTGTTTAATATATTTGTAAGTGAGGTTGTAAGAGAAGTGAATGATGGGGTGTTGGGGAGAAGTTTGGGTCTGCAAGACAGAAACTTTAACACGAAGTAGAAGTTATCACAGTTGCTTTTTGCTGATGACACTGTGCTTTTGGGAGATTCTGAAGAGAAGTTGCGAAGGTTGGTGGACGAATTTGGGAAGGTATGTAAACAAAAAAAAAAAAAAAAAGAAAATTAAAAGTGAGCATAAGAAAGAGCACCTTGTTGGTGAAAACAAAATTTTTAGATAATGAAAGACTGAATATCAGATTGGTGGGAAGGAATATGGAGGAAGCGAATGTGTTCAGATATTGACCCCCGGAACTCTCTCCAGGTAATCTCCAGGTAGTGAACTTGTCAGAGGATGGGTCTATGAAACACGAGGTGAACCACAGAAGTGACGAGGGGAAAAAGATGAGTGGTATACTGAGGTATCAGTGGAAATAAAGAACGTTATCAACGGAGGAAAAAACTGGAATGTATGGGAGCGAGAAATGGGTTGTGAGTGTTGCAGCAAGGAGGAGGTTGGAGGCGGTGATGTCGTGTCTGAGGGCAATCCGTGGAGTGCATATTATGCAGAGAATTCGTAGCTTGGAGATTAGGAGATATGGAGTTACTAAAAGTGTTATCCAGAAATGGATCGGATTAGAGATGTATCGGATATCCACATCCACATCCGCGGAATATCCGCACAATTTATTACATCTGCATCCACATCTGCATCCACAAAATAAGTAAGACATCCTCATACACATCCGCATCCATGGATATCTGATTTTTTACATCCGATACATCTCTAGCTCGGACATTTGAAGAGGATGCAACAAAATAGGTTGACTTAAAGCGCGTATGAATCTGTAGTGGAGGGATTTGGGATATTTGCTGCTTAGATTGACATCTAAACTATCGTATCTGCCTGCCTCTGGCAAAGCAGTAATAGTGTGAATGATGGTGAAAGTGTTTCTTTTTTGCATCACCCTGTATATATATAGTACCACCTCTACGGCTGGACTGGGGACCCTCATCCGCAGAGAAGACAATAAACGTACCTCAGGGAAAACTCAAGGTTCTCCCTGGAGCTGTTTGAATATTTTCTTCTCCTACCACCCTCTATATTTTATATTCTATGAGGACATTTATTAATAGACAGAATACATTCACAGAAAACACAAACATGAATACAAGTATGCAGCAAGTATTTCTCCTCTGGATGGGCATGCTGAGGCACTGGAACATGAAAGTGGCTGCCCTTGAGTCCCTGGTGGTGTCGATGAGTCTGAAACCCAATTCTTTAAGGGAACATGTGGAATTTTTTCCCCATGATCCCAAGGTCTCTGATCCCACTGGGACAAATTGATACTGTTGGCTTATGTCCCTGTACTTGCTGATCTTGTAATCCTCCCTGTGGTCAGCAGCTCCTCCCTGTCGCCCCACACTGTAATGGATATAGGTGTCAGCCAGTGTGGACACACAGGTATAGTCCCATGCTAAGAGCTTGCCATTCTTCCAGGGATAGATGGTGATCCCGTCGGGGCGGTTTGCGGGGTTGCAGGTATTGTTGGCTGCTAGAGATCGGGGCTCACTCTCGGCTGGGCATCCAGCTGTAGCAAGGGTTCTCTTTATGATGTTGTTGACCTCATTGTGTCTTGCATGCCACCCCTTGGTTTTGGAACAGTTAAGACCATGTAGTCCGTATTGGTCTGCTTGCGCTTCGCCGCAAATACACATATATTCTGTGTGAATTGGAGCAGCAAGGCGCAGAGCCACTGCAATACGGAGGGTTAAAGGGTCGAGTCGCGTTCCCATTTCCGATATGGGAACTGTTTGGAGGAAGTCCCTGAAGAGATGTGCGCTCACAGCCTGGAGACGGGCAGTCTCCCTATCTGATGTTGCAGCCCTGAGCATGTTGGCAAGCACCTTTTCAGCGATCGGGCCATCCCAGCTTAACTGTTTGTGAGCCAGTGCTGCACTAGGGTTTGGTGCTGGAGCGGCAAGAGTCTCCCATTCAGTGATAGCACTGGCATAGCTAGGGTCCTGTATTCCTGGTGAGTCACTGAGGTTATCAGGAAGAATTTGTCTTATCAACTCGTTTGATGCTATGGAAGAGGATAGGAAAGCTGGTAGAGCAATCTGCGAGGATCTGCGTGCAAATAGATAAATTAAAACCTAACAAATCCCCAGGCCCTGATGAACTGTATGCAAGGGTTCTAAAGGAATGTAAAGAGGAGCTTAGCACACCTTTGGCTAATCTTTTCAACATATCACTACAAACTGGCATGGTGCCAGATAAGTGGAAAATGGCAAATGTGATACCTATTTTCAAAACAGGTGACAGGTCCTTAGCTTCGAACTATAGACCAATAAGCCTAACCTCCATAGTGGGAAAATTTATGGAATCAATAATTGCCGAGGCAGTTCGTAGCCACCTTGAAAAGCATAAATTAATCAACGAATCTCAGCATGGTTTTACAAAGGGGCGTTCCTGCCTTACGAATTTATTAACTTTTTTCACTAAGGTATTTGAGGAGGTAGATCATGGTAATGAATATGATATTGTGTATATGGACTTCAGTAAGGCTTTTGACAGGGTCCCACATCAGAGACTATTGAGGAAAATTAAAGCACATGGAATAGGAGGAGAAATTTTTTCCTGGATAGAGGCATGGTTGACAAATAGGCAGCAGAGAGTTTGCATAAATGGGGAGAAATCAGAGTGGGGAAGCGTCACGAGCGGTGTTCCACAGGGGTCAGTGTTGGGCCCCCTGCTGTTCACAATCTACATAAACGAC